GCTGAGGCGCAGTGGGTTAAGCTGCCACGGTGACGCCCGCACCTCACAGGAGCGCTGGTTCAAGCCCAGCTCCCTGCCACTGTGCCTAGGAGAGCGGTGGCAGACGGCCTAAGAGCTTGCGTCTCTGCGCCCGTGTGGGAGACCTGCACGGAGCTCCTGGGTCCTGGCTTCACTGGGGGCATCTGGGGAGTGAACCAGCAGATGGAAGATTCTTTCTCTCTCTCTCTCTCTCTCTCTCTCTCTCTCTCTCTCTCTCTCTCCCACTCTCTGTAACTCTGCCTGTCAAGTCAATCTTTTTTAAGAAATATACAGATTCACTATCGACAGGGAGGTCAAAGGAGAACATCATATAGTTTCTGCAAGGTACTTTGTCAAAATCTAACACCCAATCCTAATTTTTAGAACTCTTAAAAAATATAAATGGGTGCTAACTTGATAATACAACAGTGTATGCTTCGGAGTGAAATAGTAAAAAATGCTACTGTTGCAGTGAGGGGCCAGCAGAGCCTGCCTGCCACAGGCTGACTTAACGTCCTTCTGCAAGCAGTGGGCAGCACAAGTGGGTAAGAAAATTAGAAGGCACAAATAAAACAGAAAAAGGTACAATGATGATTCTTTGCAGGTAATATTAATATGTACACAGAAAGTCCAAGACAATCAACTGTCAGACTATTGGAAACAATAAGGCACTTTTTAAAGATATATTTTTAAGGGGCCAGTGTTGAGGCTTAGAGGTTAAAGGCACTACTGCAGTGCCAGCATCCCATATGGGCGCCTGTTCGATTCCCGGCTGCTCCTCTTCCGATCCAGCTCTCTGCTGTGGCCTGGGAGAACAGTGGAAGATGGCCCAAGTCCTTGAGCCCCTGCACCCACGTGGGAGATCTGGAAGAAACTCCAGGCTCCAGCCTTTGGCCTGATACAACCCTGGCCATTGTGTACATTTGGGGAGTGAATGAGGGGATCAAAGATCACTTTCTGTTTCTGTCTCTCTCTCTGTAATTCTGCCTTTAAATAAATAAACATAAATCTCTTTCTAAAAGATACGGGGCCACCATGAGTGCTGGTTGGAGTCCTGACTGCTATCCTGCTGACGCACCTGGGCAGTGAATGACGGAAGATTTCAACTTCCCAGAGCCCAGCGGCCCTGGAGAGGGGGGAACCCTTGGAGGAACAGCCCAGAACTGCCCCTGCAGAGTGGGGAATCCTGGAGGAACAGCCCAGAACCGGCATGAAGGGCTGCTGCTGGCAAGCTTGCAGGGCCCCTACTACCCATGTGGGAGACCAAGATGGAGTTTCTGGCTCTGGGCTTCAGCCTGGCTCAGCCTGGGCTGTTGTCAGCATTTGGGGAGTGACAGAAGACGTCTTTCTCTGTCCCTGTCTCTCTTTGTCATTCTGCCTTTCAAATGCATAAATAAATAAACTTTTAAAAATATATACAAAAAGAAATGGCTTCCTTAAATATAAAGAGCATATTATAGGAAAAATAGACTACATCAACAATTGCAACAAAAAGATAAAATACTCAGACCGGCGCCACGGCTCACTAGGCTAATCCTCTGCCTGTGGCGCTGGCACCCCAGGTTCTAGTCCCAGTTGGGGCGCCGGATTCTGTCCCGGTTGCTCCTCTTCCAGTCCAGCTCTCTGCTGTGGCCTGGGAGTGCAGTGGAGGATGGCCCAAGTGCTTGGGCCCTGCACCCGCATGGGAGACCAGGAGGAGGCACCTGGCTCCTGGCTTCGGACCAGTGCAGCGCGCTGGCCGTAGCGGCCATTTGGGGGGTGAACCAATGGAAGGAAGACCTTTCTCTCTGTCTCTCTGTCTCACTGTCTAACTCTGCCTGTCAAAAAAAAAAAAAAAAAAAAAAAAAAAGATAAAATACTCAGGAGTAAACTCATCAAATGCACAGAATCCTAATTAAATACAAACATATTTGGTATGTGTGAGATCTGACAGAATATCAAGTAGAATATTTAGAAAAATACGTACAACAACAGACAAGTCAGCTTTTCACAGCAACATTCATTAAGCAACGAAGGCCAATAGCCACTGACAAGGGGACACGTGGTCCTCTCTGCCCAGGAAATCCCGCTACACAGAGGTCCAGAAGAGTCCACTGACCAATCAACAGGAATGATGCGAGATTTCATAAGCTTTAGGATACTGAAATAAACTATAAGGTTAAAATAATTTGGCCGGCGCCGCGGCTCACTAGGCTAATCCTCCGCCTGCAGCACCGGCACCCCGGGTTCTAGTCCCTGCCGGGGCGCCGGATTCTGTCCCGGTTGCCCCTCTTCCAGGCCAGCTCTCTGCTGTGGCCCGGGAGTGAAGTGGAGGATGACCCAGGTGCTTGGGCCCTGCACCCCATGGGAGACCAGGAGAAGCACCTGGCTCCTTCAAAAAATAAAAAATAAAAAAATTTAAAAAAAAAAGGTTAAAATAATTTAGTTTGATACTGAAAAAAAAATCAGCCTGTTTAATTGACTAGCCAGCATTTACTGTAACTATATGCCAGCCAGGCTCTGTTTCTACAATTGGCACCATTTTACAGAGAAGTAAACTGAGTCCAACAGAGGTTTGGCGGCTTGCCTAACGCCACACAATGAGTAAAGAACTCAAAGTACCACGGTTCTGGAGACCTCTCTAGTGCTACACGCTGCCCACCACAACACTGCCCGTAAGCTGGGAACAGCCCAAATGCCCATCAGCGGGGGGCGTGCTTCATCCACAGGGCATAAACGTGGCTGGTTAACAAGGAGGCTGGGACTGCTTCTCAGCCTGATGGCTAAGATCAGGTGCAAAAAGGAAGGTGCTAACAGAGATCTCAACGATGCACTAAGAAAAGTATGCACTTGTATTTTGTAAAAGCATGATTTATACACACACATATTATTTCATAATGCGCAACTTTATTCTCCCTGACGAGAATAAATGATGCTATGGGGATAGCACTGTGCCACAGTGCATTGAGCCACAGCCTCCAATGCTGGGATCCCATCTGGGCGCTGGTTCCAGTCCCGGGAGCCCCACTTCTGATCCAGCTCCCTGAATGTGCCTGGGAAGGCAGTGGAGGATGGCCCAAGTGCTTGGGCCCCTGCACCCACGTGGGGGACCTGGTTGGAGGGCCAGGCTCCTGGCTTCAGCTTGGCTCAGCCCCAGCTGTGTGGCCATCTGAGGAGTGAACCAGCAGACGACAGATCTCCCTGTTTCTGCCTCGCCCTCTCTGTAACTCTGCCTTTCACATAAGTAAATACATCTTTTGAAGCTGAAAGAGTGCTGAGTCGGGGAGTGCCCTGATCTCACTGGAACTTTTGGAAGACGCCTGTGGCTGCTGAGGGAAGAACATCCTGGGGACTGGAGGTGGAGCCAAGGCGCTGAGCTGGGAGAGAGTTGGGGAGACGTGGTCAGATTCAGGATAAAGTTCCAGAACTGGGACTGAGGGACTTGCGTTCGACGGAGGTGTGTAAAGAAGGCAAAGAGAGGTGGCTCCCAGGTTTTTGGCTCAAGTAACTAAATGAAGAGTGATACCATTCAATAAGATGTCAAACATCTGGGGACGAGACGGCTGGTGGTGGCTGGACCAAGAATGAGTTTTGGACATTCTAAATCCAAATTACCAGATGCCCAAACCGGAGATCCAAGCATAGGTGACCACACAGCCACAGAGCTGGAAGAGGTCCCATCTGGGAATCGTGAGAAGGTAACTGACAAAGCCCAGGACTGGATGTGACCATTCGGGGAGTAGCTATGGATGGAGGAGCAAAGCCCCTGGTGGGACCCCGGGCTGGGGTGGCGATGGGAAGAGGAGAGGGCCGAGAGGAGCCGGGGAGGCAGGACTAGGAGAGGCAGGACTGAGGAAGCAAGTGGAGACAGTGTTTCAAGACTGAGCAACACACAGTCCCTCAAACGCTGAGAGAGGCCACTCAGGACCAGAGCAGACGGGGCGGAGGCTGGGCTGTGGCCAGTGGGTGAAGCTGCCACCTATGACACCAGCATCCCATATGCGCACTGGCTCAAGTCCCGGCTGCTCCACTTCCCATCCAGCTCCCTGCTGATGCACCTGGGAAGGCAGTGAAAGATGGCCCAAGTGCCTGGACCCCTGCCCCCACCTGGGAGACCCGGGTGGAGTTCCAGGCCTCTGGCCAGCTGTTATGGCCATTTGGAGAGTGAATCAGAGAATGGAAGGCTTCTCTCTCTCTGTCTCTTCCTCTCTCTCTAACTCTGCCTTTCAAGTAAATATATGAATATTTTCAAGTGTTCATGTTTCATTACGTAAGGTGTTCTTTTTAAAAAACATTATTTTATTGTTTTGTGAAAGACAGAATAACAGAGAGAGCTTCCATCCTTGGCTCACTCCCCAAACGGCCACAATGGCTGGGGCTGGGCCAGGCTGAAGCCAGAAGCTGGGAGCTTCATCCGGGCCTCCCACGTGGGTACAGGGGCCCGAGCACTGGGGCCGTCCTCTGCTGCTTTCCCAGGTGCACTAGCAGGGAGCTGGATAGGAAGTGGAGCAGCGGGATGTGACCCAGAGCCCAATGGGAATGTGGGTGTGGCGGGCGGGGCTTAACCTGCTGTGCCAGACGGGAGCCCCTAATGTGTTCCTTCAGCACTAAACCTTCCCGGTGCAGCCGCACCTATAAACGAGGACACAGGGGCTTCGGTCACAGACAGCACAGGCCGGGGCAGACCCAACCCCGCGCCTCTAGAGCCGGTGGCAGGGAAACACAGGAAGAGGGGCCAGGAACGCAGCAAGCAGTCAGCAGCCGGGGACTACGGCTGCCGGCGTCAACGCGAGCTCTTCTGGGAACTCCCGGTCAGCGAGCAGTCCCAAGGCAGGTTCATGGCAGACGCTTTCTCGGGGACCAAGAACAAACAGGAAGCACAGGCACCAGGCACCACGACTCCAGGTCACAGGACACGGCCTTACGCCACCAGCAGTCAGGAAGAACCCCGAGATGCCACGGGGCTGCGGACAGAGCCCCACTCCCGGCCAGCCGGCACCTACCTGTGGTCAGCGCTGGGCTTCTGCCTCCCGTTCCCCAGTCTCCTGGTCACGGCGGCAGGTGGGGGCGAGGAGGGCAGGGGCGGGGGAGGGAGGGCAGGCAGAGGGGGCAGGGTTCTTCTCTCCTTCCTGAAGCCGGCCGCTGGGTGCCCGTCCTCGGCCCCCTCTCCGGCATGCCTGAACGTTCTCCGGGGCTTGGGAAGGGGGTTGATGAAGGGCTGCGGGGGCGACCCCTCCGAACCCCTGTACACGTTCTCTGGGCCTTGCCTCTCCTCGGCAGCCTCAGGGGCAGGCTCCCTGCCCCCCAGGTCCCACGGCTGGCCCCTCTGGCTGCCCCCCGAGCCAGCCCTGCCTCTGTGGCTCTCAGAGGCGGGGAGCCCCTCTTCCGCCTTCTCAGGCAGGCAGTGTGGGGAATAGCAGGTCCCCGGCATCTGGGGGTCCAGCCCGGCCGAGCCGTCTTTCAGAGCCTGCTCCAGCTTCTCCACCTGCTTCAGCACCGAGAGCTGATCGCTCAGCAGGCGCCTGCCACACCGTGGCTCCTGGCTCCGGCCCCAGCCGGCCTCCGGCTCCCCATCTGGCTGGCTGAGGTCTGGCCTCCGCGCCGCGTCCTGGCGCTTGGCCGTGACTCCCCCTCCACCCCGCTCGGTCTCCGCGCCCTGGGCTCTCCCGCAGCCGTCTCCGCCTCTCCTCTCCCCTGCGCAGGGCTGCAGGTGTCCCGCTGCCCCGTCTGCTCTCCTGGCAGGTGCGGCAGCAGGCGACTCCTTCTTCCCTTCCCATTCGGATATCTTGTCCTTTATGCTGAGGACCCTGTGCCGGGCCGCGGCTGCAGCAGACGGGCAGCGGCTCTGGACTCCGCTGAGCTGCTTCCTCCCGGGCCTGCCGGCTTCTGTAGCGCTGAGATCCGCAGGTGGGCCACTGACGGTCATACCTGAGCTGAACATGTCCACCCTCGGCTCCAGCACGGGTGGCTCTGGCTCAGTCTTTGCGAGAGGACGGAGGCGCAGAGTGGTGGCCCCTGAGCGTCTCCCGCGGCCTTCACACCGTCCACCTTGACCCTGAACCAGAAAGACAAACAGCGGTCAGGGACTCTTGGTACTGCTCTTGGCTGGCCGCAGAGATGCACCACAGCTCAGATATAAATATTATACGCTAGCTGCAAACCACAAACACAGAAACCATCTTTTTTTAAATCCACATTTTCTAATATAAAATTTTTACTTATTTATTTGAATGGCAGTATTACAGAGAGCGAGAGGACAGAGACAGAGACAGAGGTCTTCCACCCGCTGGCTCACTCTCCAAATTTCCGAAACAGCTGAGGCTGGGCCAGGCTGAAGCCAGGAGCCAGGAGCTTCTTCCGGGTCTCCCACATCGGTGCAGGGCCATCCTCTGCTGCTGTCCCAGGTTCATTAGCAGGGAGCTGCATCAGAGTGGAGCAGCTGGGACTCGAACCAGCACCCCTATGGGTTGCTGGTACTGCAGATATGGTGGCTTAACCTGCTGTGCCAGTGGTGTCCCCAGGAGACCACTGTATGGGGCTGGCACTGTGGCAAAGCGGATAAAACTGCTGTGTGCAATGCCAGCAACTCATATGGGTGACGGTTCAAGTCCAGGCTGCTCCACTTCCAATCCAGCTCCCTGCTAATGGCCTGGGAAGAGCAGTGGAGGATGGCCCGAGTGCTCGGCCCCTGCACCCACGTGGGAGACCCGTATGACTCCTGGCTCCTGGCCCTTACAGCCATCTAGGGAGTGAAGCAGCAGGTGGAAGATCTTTTGCTTTCTGTCCCTCCCTCTCTCTCCATAACTCTTCTAAATAAAATAAAATAAACACAAACAAAGAAACCACCACCACTGTATCTTTCTTGGGAGGACAGAGTCCCACGGGCTTAGGTGCAAACTCTCACTCCACCAAGGCCGCGGGTGATCCTCTCACCCCAGCTTCTCCCTCTCCGGGGGCAGTGACAGTAAGCATAGCCCGCCCGCAGCAGGTGGTGTGGACGGTGTGCACTATGAATGGTGGCTGCCACCACTCAGCCGTCTTCCCTGCCGTGGGCGGCAGTAAACATAGGGGAAGGCAGGAGGCAGTGCACATTGCTTGGCTCTCATTAGCCGTGGGCAGTTCTTGGCAACTGACGGTTCAGAAACCACACCAGCACCACAAACCACCCAGCGTCTGCTGATTCTGGGCTTGCGAAGCTGTCCCGACTGCAGCGGGCAAAGCCACAGGAGCGGAAGCTCCCCCGGACATGTGCGCTCCGGCAGAGCAAACGCTACAGGAAGCCGGGGCTGTGTTGGTATTCTTGGCCTGTGCTGGCCACTGGGACACCCCGGCACCCAGAAAACGCTGGCTGCGCAGACGGTGAACAAACAGCGCTGCGTGAATGAGGGCGCCTGTAACGAGCAGGCACTTTCCGATCTGTGCAGGGCCTCGAGACGCCCTGACAGCCACCACGCGTGGCCAAGGCTTCGGTTCTCGGCCACACGCCGAGCACTCGGTAGCCCCGCGGCAGGAGAGGGGCTGACGGCTCCTGGATCAGATCGGGTAGGGCATCTTCCTCACTGCGGAAAGTTGCAGCCTAGGTCACACGCCGGGGGACGCAGGAGGGAACTTCAGAAAGTTTATGGGAAAACAGCACTGAAAGATCAATTTCGGTGCAAAAAATTGTGTGTGTGTGTGTGTTTTGACAGGCAGAGTGGACAGTGAGAGAGAGACAGAGAGAGAAAGGTCTCCCTTTGCCGTTGGTTCAACCTCCAATGGCTGCCGCGGCCGGCGCGCTGCAGCTGGCGCATCACGCTGATCCGAAGGCAGGAGCCAGGTGCTTCTCCTGGTCTCCCATGGGGTGCAGGGCCCAAGCACTTGGGCCATCCTCCACTGCACTCCCTGGCCACAGCAGAGAGCTGGCCTGGAAGAGGGGCAACCGGGACAGAATCCGGCGCCCCGACCGGGACTAGAACCTGGTATGCCGGCGCTGCAGGCGGAGGATTAGCCTATTGAGCTGTGGCTCCGGCTGCAAAAAATTTTCAAAATCCATGTGTAGATTTTTCATAGCATGCATTTTCACTTATTGAAGATTTCACACACACACACACACACACCTACATATATACATGATCTCAAAAGTTTTCTGACACCCAAGTACACTTACCTTTTTTTTTTTGAAAGGCAGACTTACAGAGAGAGAGGGAGAGACAGACAGAGAGAGCTTCTACCCGCTGGTTCACTTCCCAAATGACTGCAATGGCTGGAGTTGGGCCAGGCCAAAACCAGGAGCCAGGAGCTTCTTCCAGGCCTCCCACGTGGGTGCAGGGGCCCAAGCACTGGGAGCATCCTCTGCTGCTTTCCCAGGTGCGTTAGCAGGGAGCTGGATAGGAAGTAGAGCAGCCCATACGGGACACTGGTGCTGCAGGCGGCAGCTTAATCTGCTATGCCACAATGCCAACACCTTTTTTTTAAAGAGATGTATTCATTTATTTTGAAAAAGTTACCAAAGAGAGAGGGAGAGACAGAGAGAGAAGGATCTTCCATCCGCTGGTTCACACCCCAAATGGCTGCAATAGCCTGAGCTGGGCCATGCTGAAGCCAGGAGCCAGGAGCTTCTTCCAGGTCTCCCACATGGGTGCAGGGGCCCAAGCACTCAGGCCATCCTCCGCTGCTTTTCCCAGGCCACAGCAGAGAGCTGGATGGGAGGCAGGGCAAGGATTTGAACCAGTGCCCAGATGGGATGCCGGCGTCGTAGGCAGAGGCTGTATCCGTTATACCACAACGCTGGCCCCTACACTTGTCTTTTAACTCCATTTCCCCGTGAACTCTGGGAGCACCCCTATGAGGTACTCTCTCTATACGTGTATGTATGTACATGTATATATGTGCATATGTGTGGTAAGAGGAGATCAGCGTGAAGATGCTCAATGTTATTCTGAAAACAAAGGACCTCACTGAATGAGAATGAGGGTATCTGTGTGCCCAAATGCAGAAATTCTCCCAGCAGCCCGGCATGACAGCACAGCGACGCCCGAGGTGCCGAGACCGGCAGCACACACACCTGCGCACCCTCTGTGTGTGCGGATCTGCCCCTACGGGGACTCCAGCTGCGGTTCTCAGTGAGAGTAATTCCCAGATCCATGCATCCTGCCGTTGCCAGCTCTTTCCTCCAAGTCTAAGGGGCTGTTTACACGAAGATTCTCCCTCAATTGGGACATCAGCACATAAATCACGCTGCTGGTCTCGGTTGTACGGCAGAAATTAGAAACTCGAGAAAATGCAAACACATTTTTTTGCCAATAGAGTTTCTTATGTTAAGTATGACTAGCAGCAGAAATCCTTATTTAAATAAACAATTAGGATTCATAACAGCTTACAAAAGAGAAAAACATGCACTTGTCCTGTCACCACTGAGGATGTCACCGTGGATTCAGACTTTAGTCAGAGTTAGAAGTCTGCTGGTATTTCACCAGGGGTTCAGAAGGCAGAGTGACAGCCCTTCTCTGCCCCGGGGCAACAGGAAGCGAGAGGACCCGCACGGTAGAACGGCCGACCTTCCAGGCAGCGCACTTACTGAAGGCAGACGGCCGAACACACACCCGCTGACAGGCCGCGTACCGGCCCGGCGGACAGATGGCCAAACACACAACCGCTGCAGGCGGTGAATGAGCACAGTACGCATGCAGACGGCAGCGTCTGCCCCAAATCCGGGGCTCAGCAGATGTGCCGGCGGCGTCGTAACCCCTGTGCTCGCGGTGCAGGGCCCCAAGCACCTGCACCAGCCGCCGGCACCAAGGCCCCATCGGAGACTGCGGAGGCGCAGAGGCTGCCTGCTGGAGGCCACGCTGGGCTCACCACACTCCAGACACGAAAGAGGGTGAAGCTGTCTCACCAGGGACGGCTGCTGCACCCAGGAAGTTCCCACGTTCCAGTTCCCAAGATTCTACTGCCCCAGAAGGGCTCTGGCCTGCGGTCCTTGCAGAATGTACCCACGCCCTGGGGAAAAGGACACAACCCTGCTAATGAGGTGGCAAGCTGACCATGTGGACGGACACGGCTGCAAAGATCCAGGGCTCAGAAATAACCGGGGCGGGCAATCGGGCAGCAGGGAAGACGCCCTGGGGATGCCGCAGCCCCTGCTGGAGTCCTGCAGTCCTGGCTCTGCTTCCGATCCAGCCTCCTGCCAATGCACGCCGTGGGAAGCAGCGCACAAGGGCCACCCACGCGGGAGACTCAGATGGCTCCTGGTTAGCTTGGCCCAACCTCAGCTATTGTGGGCATCTGGGGAGTGAACCAGCGGATGGAAGATTCTCTCTCCGTCTCTGCCTTCCAAATAAATAAAAACAATCAATTTTTTTAAAGTTACTTAAAATGCCTGTGTAGCCTCATAGTTAGAAAAATAAACCCTGGGCTGGGACGCATGCTGGGGGTACGGCCTGACGTGGCCCGGGACCTTCATCTCCACACCGGCACTGCTCGGGTTTGCTCCTGACCCTTCGGTCTCGTGTCCCCGCACGTGGAGGTGACTTACAGGAGGGCCACTAGAATGAGCTGGGAAAGAGCTCCGGGCAGTGAGAGCAGTGGGAAGAACGGGGCCAGCGTGCACAGCCTCTGGGGACGAAGCTCTTACCTGTCAGCCGACGTGCAGCTCAGGTTTTCAGTCTGGCTGTGGCTGCCCTCGGCCGGCCCGCACGCCGTCATCGTGTCAGGTCTCCTGGGGGAACAAGGGAGCACGCACGGTGAGCCGCCACCACACGCGCCCTGGGCGGCGAGCAGAGGGGCCCACGTGCCAGCCTCCGCCCAGGAGTGGGAGTGCAGGAAGGCACCGTCAGCACCCCGATCCAGGAGCAGGCATGCGTACATCGTGGGGAGCGTCCAGACCTGCAGCCCACTCCAGGCTCCTCACAAACATCTCATGGAAGACACACAGCAGCCCCAGCCCACCACGGCTGCCTGAAACCACGGACAGAACCGCTCCCCGTACTCACCATGTTTTCCTCCTGGGCACACAAATCTTTAAGGTTTAATTTATAAATGAGGCGCGGCGATAATGGACAATAATGAAACAGGACAACTGTAACAGTGCACCGTAATTTAACAGTAAGAACGTGGTCCCTCTTTGCCAACATACACTACGGTGCCGTCGCTGACCGAGCGCAACTGAAATCCTGGAGAGCAGGCCCAGGGCCAAGGGGAGACTCCTGTAACCTCCGAAAGCAGACCACAAACAAGGCAACCGCCCCTTCCAGGCTCTCTGAACCCCTGCGATGAGCCAGCCGTCCCGAGGAACAGGAACCAAACCACACACAGTGCAAACAGCGCCACAGGGCCCCCACCTCCCCCGTGCGCCCTGACGGCGGAGGCCCAAGGCGTCAGGGCGCGGTCTGGGCAACCCTGGGAACCCAGTCGTTCCTGCTCACCAGCAGCAAGGGCAGAGCGGACGGCTGGAGTCCGACGTGCCCCAGTGTCCAGGGTGGGGGTGACTGACTGGCTGAGCAGTCTCACTGCAAGCCCCGGCAGGACCCCGAGGGAGGAGCAGTGTCTCTCCACACAGGGAGGCGGAGGCCAGGCGGGTACCAGCTCCGGGGCGCGAACACCCAGGGACTGGCTCCTGGCACTGCTGTGCGGTCCTGGGCACTGCGCCTCCCCCACAGAACGTCCAGGGAACCCCTCTCCAACTCAAGATTCCTAACCCCTGTCCCAGGCCCAGTGTCCTGCCCACCCAGAAATCAAAGCGCTGGCCAGGCTGCAAGGAGAGGGGAGCCAGGGAGAAAGAGGCGAGGGAAAGCAGCGTGAGCCTGGGCCACGGCGCGACAAAGAGGAAGGCGAGGGAGCCGTGAACTGAGGCAGCAGGGAGGTGAGAGACAGGCCCGCCACACCGTGTGTGCGGGAGGGCGCGGGGCTCTGCTCCCTACCCACGCAGCACCGGACGCCCAGGGCATAATCCGTGCAGCAACCAAGCCCCACCTTGGTTATTTATTTGAAAGGCAGAGTTGGAGAGAGACCGAGAGAGAGAGAGACAGATGGGGGGAGGGGTATCTGTAACCGCCAAAGCCAGGAGCAACCGGGTCCCCCGCCACGTGGGTGCAGGGTCCAAGCACTGAGGCTGTCCTCCGCTGCTTTCCCAGGCACATTAGCAGGGAGCTGGACTGGAAGCGGAGCGGCTGGGACTCGAGCTGTGCCCATGTGGGACACTGGCACAGCAGGCGGCATTGTAACCCACTACGCCACAGCGCAGACCCTAGCTCCACCACTCTTGAAAGAAGCCAGGCCCTGGGCCTTGATGGCAGGACCCACACGCAGCACGGTGGAGGGACGTCCGGAGAGCAGCCACATCCCAGCCCACCCTCCACGCTCACGCAACTGCTGCCTCCAAACCCAGAGCCTAGACCCAGCCCTGCTCCTCACACACCAGCCCCTCCCCCGCCCAGCTGGCGTCTGCTTCACCGGCATGACCAGCAGGTGTAGGCGGGTGTGTGCCGGACGCTCCGGGGCCTTGAACCCCAGAGCTCGGGGGAGCAGCAGGGCTGAGCTGGGACCACGGTCAGCGGGGAGCCAGGCTCTCCCCAGGGGGAGAGTTTCCCGAAAGTAACACAGCCCGCTGTGTCCGATGCAACGGTGACTTCCAAGGCGGAAGCCACAGTCCCCAGGACAACAGGACACCGCACTGTGAGAAGCAGGCTCCCGCGGGCTTCGGGGGCTGAACAGAGGGGGCGAGCAGCCCCAGCACCCCGGCAACCAGCCCGCTGCACTGGATCGCAGAGCGATGGGACGCGCTGCTCTCTCCTCTGGTGACTGAAAGGCGCCAATCTGGGACGAGTCCATTTGCTGGTGGGAGAACTCTGGGACTTCAACCAGCAGGATCAACTCTAGGGGCCTGGCACTGCAAGATGGCGCTGTTCTGCCAAGAGTGGCCAGCTGGGGACGCTGTTCCATGTCGACCCCTGGCACCTCTCTCGACCACGGCAACAGCCTGTCCAGGGCGCGGTGCGAACGGGGCTCCTCAAGGGCCTCAGGGGCCTTCCCCACGGCCCGAGTTCTTCACCTCTTCCGGGTGATTTGGCCTTGCAACCCAGACACTTTGCCAGGAAGGACAATGGATGATTAGCAGTAACACATCTTCCCTGCTCACCTGCTCGCCATAAAGAACAGACTGTCCCCGTAACCAGATGGCCTTGATCACTGCTAATACATTTAACTCCACTGAAAGTACCACACAAAATCTTCAAGCTGGATGACAAGACAGTGCATACATGTTTGTATCAGTTAAACATTTCATAAGTTCTTTTTTTAAATTTCTTAATTTTCCTTTATTTATTTATTACTTATTTATTTGATAGGCAGAGTTACAAAGAGACAGGGAGTGTCCGATGAAGGAAAGGGGATTATATATATTATATATATATATTATATTACACACACACACACACACACACACATATATATATAGTGGAATAAGAAGTCCATGCCAAGACGGCACTGGCCAGCGAGCATAGTTACTCAGGAAATGGCAGTGGAACCCACCTGGCAAAGGAGCCTGCCTAGCAACAGGCAGTGATTGGTTACAGCATAAACTGCCCCTTGACCGGATTGGCTGCCTTGGCTATATAAGCTGCTGCACTAACTGAAATAAATGAGTCTGTGAGCTGCGAGCCTCCGGCCCACTTTCACCCAACTCCTAGTGTCTGTGTTATGACTCCACGCCTCTTGCCCCCACCACGCTTATCCTCAGAATGAATCCACAGCAACAGAGAGAGAGAGGAGAGAGAGAGAATCTTCCATTCACAAGTTCACAACCCAAGTGGTCACAAAGGTCAGACATGGGCCAACCCACATTTCATCATAAGTTTTTTTTTTTTTTTTGACAGGCAGAGTGGACAGTGAGAGAGAGAGACAGAGAGAAAGGTCTTCCTTTGCCGTTGGTTCACCCTCCAATGGCCGCCGTGGCTGGCGCACCGTGCTGATCTGAAGCCAGGAGCCAGGTGCTTCTCCTGGTCTCCCATGGGGTGCAGGGCCCAAGCACTTGGGCCATCCTCCACAGCCTTCCCGGGCCACAGCAGAGAGCTGGCCTGGAAGAGGGGCAACCGGGACAGAATCCGGCACCCTGACTGGGACTAGAACCCGGGGTGCCAGCACCGCAGGCAGAGGATTAGCCTATTGAGCCATGGCACCAGCCTCATAAGTTCTTAAAACTTACAAACTGAAGAGAAATATTTTTAGGACTCCACTATCTGTAACAGATTCTGTTTATCAGTCAGGTCCATAAGCTGACGGTGTTCTGGCTAAAGTGAACACCCTAAAGGGTTCTCTTGCAGCACTAGCACCGCGCTGCCCGGAGATTTTCTCCAGCGAGGCGCTGCCGGCTGCTGTGGGCCAGCTGGTGCTGAGGGAATCTCATGCCTAACTACTACCTTTGGTTTTGAGGCAGGAGTGGGACAGGGGTGGGGACGTGTGTTCCCAACAAACAAGCTGAGCGCGGAGGCCCAAAGTACACGGTCCAGTCCCGGGAGTCCACCCCTGCTCTGCCAACCAGCCCAGTGAGGTCAAGTGAGGTCCAATGAGGCCCAGTGAGGCCCAGAGGGGCCCAGTGAGGTCAAGTGAGGTCCAGAGGGGCCCAGCGAGGCCCAGTGAGGCCCTGTGGGGCCCAGAGGGGTCCAGTGAGGCCCAGTGAGGCCCAGAGGGGCCCAGTGAGGCCCTGTGGGGCCCAGAGGGGTCCAGTGAGGCCCAGTGAGGCCCTGTGGGGCCCAGACGGGCCCAGTGAGGCCCAGTGAGGCCCAGAGGGGCCCAGTGAGGCCCTGTGGGGCCCAGAGGGGTCCAGTGAGGCCCAGTGAGGCCCAGTTAGGCCCAGTGGGGCCCAGAGGTGCCCAGTGAGGCCCAGTGAGGCCCAGCGAGGCCCAGTGGGGCCCAGAGGGGTTCAGTGAGGCCCAGTGCGGCCCAGTGGGGCCCAGAGGGGTCCAGTGAGGCCCAGTGAGGCCCTGTGGGGCCCAGACGGGCCCAGTGAGGCCCAGTGAGGCCCAGAGGGGCCCAGTGAGGCCCTGTGGGGCCCAGAGGGGTCCAGTGAGGCCCAGTGAGGCCCTGTGGGGCCCAGACGGGCCCAGTGAGGCCCAGTGAGGCCCAGAGGGGCCCAGTGAGGCCCTGTGGGGCCCAGAGGGGTCCAGTGAGGCCCAGTGAGGCCCAGTTAGGCCCAGTGGGGCCCAGAGGGGTCCAGTGAGGCCCAGTGAGGCCCTGTGGGGCCCAGAGGTGCCCAGTGAGGCCCAGTGAGGCCCAGCGAGGCCCAGTGGGGCCCAGAGGGGTTCAGTGAGGCCCAGTGCGGCCCAGTGGGGCCCAGAGGGGTCCAGTGAGGCCCAGTGTGGCCCAGTGGGGCCCAGAGGGGTCCAGTGAGGCCCACTGAGGCCCTGTGGGGCCCAGCGAGGCCCAGTGAGGCCCAGTGGGGTCCAGTGAGGCCCAGTTGGGCCCAGTGAGGCCCAGTGGGGCCCAGAGGGGTCCAGTGGGGCCCAGAGAGGCCCAGTGAGGCCCAGTGGGGCCCAGAGGGGTCCAGTGGGGCCCAGAGAGGCCCAGTGAGGCCCAGTGGGGCCTAGAGGGGTCCAGTGAGGCTGGCTCCTGCGGCTTCCTTTCCAGCTGCTTCACAGCCAGAGGTGTGACCAAGTGCAAATGGGCCGCAGTGGCTTCATCTTTCTGATTGGAGTCTTTCAAAGTCAAACCGGTATCTTCAGGTTTGTGAGGCAGGTGGGCCACGTGCCACGAGCTGTCTGGGATGACATCCACTGTGCGCTCCGCGGCCCTGGCTCACATCCTCGCGCTCCCGCAGTCCTGGACAGAAAACACCGGGGGCGGGGGAGGGGGGTGTCGGGACTGAGCACGTCGGACTTTTCTGAACAACGCAGTCAGACTTCTGCTCACACAGCCTTTACGTTGCGTTGGGGATTCGGAGCCAGCCAGAGCAGGACATGCGCGGGTCACAGGGTAACACCGCACTGTTTATTTATTTATTTATTTATTTAAGGTGTATTTGTTTTATTTAAAAGGCAGAGTTACAGAGAGGCTGAGGCAGAAAGAGACAGACAGACAGAAAGATAGACAGAACACAGCACACGCAATCCTGCATGAGAACACGGCACACACAATCCTGCACGAGAACACGGCACACACAGCCTGCACGGGAACACAGCACACACAGCCTGCACTAGAACACAGCACACACAGCCTGCACTAGAACACAGCACACACAGCCTGCATGAGAACACGGCACACACAGCCTGCACGAGAACACGGCACATGCAATCCTGCACGAGAACACAGCACACACAGCCTGCACTAGAACACAGCACACACAGCCTGCACTAGAACACGGCACACACAGCCTGCACAAGAACACGGCACACACAGCCTGCACGAGAACACGGCACACGCAATCCTGCATGAGAACACGGCACACACAGCCTGCACGAGAACACGGCACACACAGCCTGCACGAGAACACGGCACACGCAATCCTGCACGAGAACACGGCACACACAGCCTGCACGAGAACACGGCACACACAGGCTGCACGAGAACACGGCACACACAATCCTGCACGAGAACACAGCACACACAGCCTGCACGAGAACACGGCACACACAGCCTGCACGAGAACACGGCACACACAATCCTGCACGAGAACACGGCACACGCAATCCTGCACGAGAACACGGCACACACAGCTACATGAGAACACGGCACACACAATCCTGCACGAGAACACGGCACACGCAATCCTGCACGAGAACACGGCACACACAATCCTGCACAAGAACGCGGCACACACAGCCTGCACGAGAACACGGCATACGCAATCCTGCACGAGAACACGGCACACGCAATCCTGCACGGGAACACGGCACACACAGCCTGCACGAGAACACGGCACACGCAATCCTGCACGAGAACACGGCACACGCAATCCTGCACGAGAACACGGCACACACAGCTGCATGAGAACACGGCACACACAATCCTGCACGAGAACACGGCATACGCAATCCTGCACGAGAACACGGCACACGCAATCCTGCACGAGAACACGGCACACACAGCCTGCACGAGAACACGGCACACACAGCCTGCACGAGAACACGGCACACACAGCCTGCACGAGAACACGGCACACGCAATCCTGACGAGAACACGGCACACGCAATCCTGCACGAGAACACGGCACACACAATCCTGCACAAGAACGCGGCACACACAGCCTGCACGAGAACACGGCACACACAATCCTGCACGGGAACACGGCACACACAGCCTGCACGAGAACACGGCATACGCAATCCTGCACGAGAACACGGCACACGCAATCCTGCACGGGAACACGGCACACACAGCCTGCACGAGAACACGGCACACGCAATCCTGCACGAGAACACGGCACACACAATCCTGCACGAGAACACGGCACACACAGCCTGCACGAGAACACGGCACACGCAATCCTGCACGAGAACACGGCACACACAGCCTGCACGGGAACACGGCACACACAGCCTGCACGAGAACATGGCACACACAGCCTGCACGGGAACACGGCACACACAGCCTGCACGAGAACACGGCACACGCAATCCTGCACGAGAACATGGCACACACAATCCTGCACAAGAACGCGGCACACACAGCCTGCACGAGAACACGGCACACGCAATCCTGCACGGGAACACGGCACACACAGCCTGCACGAGAACACGGCACACGCAATCCTGCACAAGAACATGGCACACACAGCCTGTACAAGAACACGGCACACACAGCCTGCACGAGAACACGGCACACACAATCCTGCACGAGAACATGGCACACGCAATCCTGCACGAAACATGGCACACGCAATTCTGCACGAGAACACGGCACGCGCAATCCTGCACGAGAACACGGCACACACAGCCTGCACGAGAACACGGCACACACAATCCTGCATGAGAACACGGCACACGCAATCCTGCACGAGGACACGGCACACACAAGCCACCAGCAGCATCAAGTCCGCAGGGCCGCATGCCGGCAAAGATGGGGGCAGTGCCAAGGGCATGGCTCCTCTACTAAGGACCAATCACTTCCTGTTTCTAGAAGTTTCGCTGCTGAGCCCAGGGGACTCCCCCATCACATACGACTGTTGAAGTACCGTGTGTGGGACGAACACACACAGGCCACTTTGCTGACACTTCACGTGTTAGATGACCGGATAACCAAGTACAGCCACTCAGTCCCCAGCAGGAATGAAGTCCAGACACACTGCCACATCCTGCTAACCGAAGACGCCAGTGGCAACAGAACCATTCACATGAGACGTCTGACAGAGGCCCAGCCAGAGACAAGGTCGCGGCCGCCAGGGCCCGGTGCAGGGGCCTGGGGGAGGGGGCGATGAAAGTGTTCTGGGGTTGCACCAGGAGGGAATACACTGAAAACCACTGAACCGGCCTGAACCAGTCTTGGGCCAGTGCTGTAGCACAGTGGGCTAGGCCGCTGCTTGCAACACAGTCTCACACAGCGTGACGGACGTAGCTGTCCCTGCACTGGGACAGAAACACGTCTTTCGCTTTGTGACATCTGCAAATCATGTTTTCCCCCTCGCTTGCTGGTGGCGTGGAAATCCTCTCACAGGCGCCCTTCGGGTTCAGCATTCTGTGCAGGATGGAGCAGGGACAGAGCAGCTCGGGGGCCGCCCTGGACAGCACACGGGGCTGCGTGTGCAGGGCCAGGGCTCTGTCAGGTTCACCTCTGTGACAGGCGGAGCTGCGAAAGTCACGCGGTATGCTGGCAGTGGCAGACGGGATTCGGATAAACATGCTTTTAAAAATAAAGAGATTCACTTCCTGTGTGTGTGTGTGTGTGTGTGTGTGTGCCACAGGTCACTGAACTGGGAGGAGTCGGGGCCACATGTGCTCAGCTCCCTAATGCGTAGCCTGGTCTTCCAGGGCAAGCGTTTGACTCTGCAGCGGAGACACCTGCGTCCCACATCAGAGTGCAAAGCACAGGTTCAGTTCCCAGGTCCAGCTCCCGACTCCAGCTTCCTGCTGTTCAAACCCCAGAGGGAACGAAGATGGCTCAAGTAACGGAGTAGGAGACCGGGCCCGAAATGAAAACCAATTCAAACGTGGGGACGGGGCTGGCGCAGCGGCGCGGTGGGCGGAGCCTCCACCTGCAGCACCAGCAGCCCGTACGTATGGGCACCAGTTCAAGTCCCAGCTGCTTCTCTTCTGATCCAGCTCTCTGCTACAACCTAGGAAAGCAGAAGACGGCCCAAGCGCTTGGGCCTCTGCACCCATGTGGGAGACCCAGAAGAAGCTCCTGGCTCTGGCCGTTGCAGCCATTTGGCGAATGAACCAGAGAGGAAGACCTCTCTCTCTGTCTCTCCCTCTGCCTATAACTCAACCTCTCAAATAAATAAACAAAGGTGGGGACAGCACTGTGACACGGCAGAGGAAGCCACCATCCGGAACACCGTCATCAGAGCACCGGTTCGAGTCCCGGCTGCTCTGCTTCTGATCCAACTCCCTGCTAATGTGCCTGAGAAGACAGTGAGAGACGCCCCAAGCTCCTGGGACCCTGTCACCCACATGGGGGGCCCGAATGTACTTCCAGGCTCCTGGCTTCAGCTTGGCCCAGCCATCTGGGGAGTGAACCAGAGGATGGAAGATCTCTCTCTCACTCTCTCTGTCACTCTGCCTTTCAAATAAATTTATATTTGATTTATTTTTTATTTACCTGAAAGGCAGAGTGACAGAGAGAGGAGGAGGAGGAAGAGGAAGGGAGAGAGAGAGAGAGAGAGAGAGAGAGAGAGAGATATCTTCCATCCTCTGGTTCATTCCCCAAATGGTTGCCACGGCTGGGACTGCAGCAGGCTGAAGCCAGGAGCCTGGAGCTTCTTCCAGGTCTCCCACGCGGGTGCAGGGGCCCAGGACTCGGGCATCCTCCACTGCTTTCCCAGGCACATCTGCAGGGAGCTGGATGGGAAGCGGAGCAGACAAGTTTCAAACTGGCGTCCACAGATGATGCCGACATTGCTGATGGAGGCTCTACCTGCTACACTACAATGCTGGCCCCAATAAATAAGTATCTTTTAGAGGCAGATTAGTGGTTCATGGATGAGGAGTGGGTGGGTGGGAGGAATGGGGAGTAACAGTAGTGCTTGGGGCTGGCACCGCGGTACAGCGGGCTAGGCTGCCGTCCGCAGTGCCAGCTTTCCTGTGAGCACCTGCTCATGTCTGTGAGTACCTGGTCTGCCCCTGCCGTCCCAGTAAGCCCCGGAGTTCTTCCAGCTGCAGGGCACCTGGCTCCCAGAGCCCACGAGCCCATGCTTGCCGGGCCACAGTGCCTGCTGAACGGCAGGGAGCTGCGACCTCAACGTCTCCTCCGAAACTCGGCTTGAAACCGCAGTGTCACTGTGTTGACAACTGTGGATGGGCCAGGCCACGAGGGCTCCGCCCTCAGGATGGGTTCATTTTCCTGTGGGAGTGCCTCCACGACCACGGGGCGGGCAGTGAGAAGAGCCCTCCCTTGCCTTCCGGCTCCTGCTGTGGACGACGCGGCGTCGGGGCCCTGCCAGAGCCAGCACTGTGGACTCTCAGCCTCCAGAGCTCTGCGGCCAATCAACTTCCAGCTACAGATACGCCAGCCTCCCAGGGCTGTCCCAGCAGCCCGGACGGCCGAGACCAAGGGTGCGCGCTCTGTTCTCAGCACGTCGTCTCCCTCGGGGCTTCCAAGACTCAGGCCCAGGGCACAGTCACTTCCTCCCAGACGTCTCAGTGGGTCAGACCAGCGGCTGACGGGAAGTGGTCATGTGACTCAGTCTTCCGACCCACAGCTGTGTCTGACTTCCCACAGGGAACTGAGGGGAGCCTGGGAGAAAGGCACCAGAGATTCGCCTGACCCTGAGCTTCCATTCTGGCACAGGCAGCAGGTGCAGGTGTGCTGCCGTGTGGAAGAGCAGCCCGGGAGCGGGGCTCGGGACGGCACCCACTGCCCTTGGGGTGTGCAGGTGAGAGCCACAGATGTGCGCACGGCCCCAGGACGCACAAACCGTGACAGAGAGGCCACGGCGGCCCTGAGGGGACGCCATGCCTGACCGTCTGCCGCCCTTCTCTGCAGAGCTCAGTGTGTGAACGGGGACTGGTCACGGTCAGAATCTGTGACACAGGCAGAAGCTGTGAACGGGACTGGTGGAGACCACGGACGCCCTCGCCAAGATGCCATCGGGAGCATCACGACCGGAACACGGTTTACGGTGAAGCAATTTCAGGCTTACAGAGCAGCTGTGAGAGCAGTACAGAAAACCTTTTCCAAATTCACCTCGTTTTAACTTTCTCTCTCTCTCTCTCTCTCTCCCCCTCCCACCCCCCGTTGAAGGCTGCTGTAGAATCCTCTTTTGCAGGTTTCCGGAAGGCGAGAGCAATGCAGCCACTAGAAGCCCTCAGTGCTCACGGACACAGAAGGAACCAGAATCTCACAAAGCCGGACTACTGAGGTCAGCACGCCCAGCCGGGTCCCAGAGGCAACGCCATCCCTGTCGCTCCCCCTCTTCGTGGAGGAACGACACTAAACCCTGCCTAGGTTTCCTATCCGAGTCACGGCACCATTATGTCGCTCCCCCTCTTCTTGGAGGAACGACACAGGACCCTGCGCTGTTCTTTTGTCTGCTCGGCCCTCCCCGGGTTTGCTACTGGTTCTTCCCGGGTTGGCTACCGACCCTTCCACCTCCGTGGAAGGGCGGTTCCCCCTGCCACTTTCCCCACTTCCGCGGGGGAGCGGCACACCGCCGGCCGGCTCTCTCGGGGGCTGCTCAGGTGTTCCTTCAGATAGATGTTCCCCTTAGATGTTCCTGGTGCATGTTGTCTCTCTCCTCCTTTATAGTCCTCTTCCACCAATCCCAACTCGGCTGCCCACACGCCGAGTACGCTGCTCTCCTCCAATCAGGAGCAGGATCAGCTCCTGCAGGTCATCACTCAAGTTGGCGAGAGGCAGCTGCGTAGAAGCTGTTTCCTCCTCTCCCAGCGCCATATTGTGGGAGAGCAGATGCATAGAATAAGTCTTAATTCCAGTAACTCAGTCTAGTCCGAGTTGCTCCCCACACATCCCCACGCCACACCAGCCTCTGCTGGGATCTTCCAAGAGGACACTGCCAGCACACACTAAGAGCTAGGGAAACACAGAAATAAAAAACACGTGGTGCACAGGCGCCCGTGAGGGGAGCAGAGCCACCAGACAGCCTCCATAACTAAGAGAGTGACGCTGCCGCAGAAAAACAGGCAAGCACAGCAGAGCCAGAAGCCGAGACGCACTGCCCAGGCCAGAGCGCGTCTGAACTCTCTGAGGCAGGCAGACTGACAGTGCTGCAGGACGCAGAGCCGTCGAGCAGCATCAAGGGAGAACACCCTGCAGCCCTCGCAGCCTCCGAGCGAGACTGGGAGCCTCAGAGCCAGAACGCGTGCAGCTGCCGGCAGGAACTCCAGCCTCCCCAAGGCTGCAGCCCCGCGGCGGCGCCAGCAGTGGACACCCGGATTCTGCCGTCTTCTGGAGGTAAGGATCGTCATCCCCACTTTGAAGGTGGGAAGAGCACGGCGCGGGGACCAGCCAGCGTCACAGTGCTTAAGTAACAGAACTGGGACGCCACGTGGTCTCTCTGCTGCAGCTGTCTGTGTCGCCACCCACTCCTTGCTGTCTCCTCTCTCGGCACCAGAGTGTGCCCCCCCCAGTCTGACGCGAGATGGCTTCTCCGTGACGCCAGGGGACACCGACCTCAGACTCTGACACCGAGGGGCCGGGCTCGCTGGGGGAGCCTGACTCTGCTAAGGGGACACAGCGCCACGGCCACCAGACGCGAGTGGAGGAGCACGGCGTGGGCCACCTGCACAGAGTGCCCGCGGCGACGGGGATGCACCTCCAGAACGCGGTGCCCGGCGAATGGGAGCCACACCCAAGTCCACCTGCTGTGCACCAGCAGCCAGGGCTGGTCTTGCGGTCAGCGGGTTAAGCTGCTGCCTGCGAGGCCGGCGTCCCATACAGCCACCACGTGAGTCCTGGCTGACCCACTTCAGATCCAGCTCCCCAGAAACGCGCCTGGGAAAGCAGCAGCAGGTGGCCCACGTATCTTGGGTCCTGCTACCCATGTGGGAGACCTGCTCAGAGTTCCAGACTCCCGGCCCCTGCAGACATCTGGGGAGTGAACCAGAGGAGGGAAGCTCGCTCGCGCTCTCTCTCTCTGTAACTCTACCTTTCAAATAAATAAAGTCTTTTAAAAATGGAAACAAGTCAGTCCAGAGACAGAACGTAGCTGCGTGGTTGTGAGGGGCTGAGGGGGCGGGCAGAGGCACTAGCTAAGGGGTCTGGGTCTCTTTTTGAGGGTGAGAAAAATATTCTAAAATTGTCGTGAAGGCTGGCGCTATGGCTCACTAGGCTAATCCTCCGCCTAGCAGCGCCGGCACACCGGGTTCTAGTCCCGGTCGGGGCGCCGGATTCTGTCCCGGTTGCCCCTCTTCCAGGCCAGCTCTCTGCTGTGGCCAGGGAGTGCAGTGGAGGATGGCCCAGGTGCTTGGGCCCTGCACCCCATGGGAGACCAGGAAAAGCACCTGGCTCCTGGCTCCTGCCATAGGATCAGCGCGGTGCGCAGGCCGCAGCGCGCCGGCCGCGGCGGCCATTGGAGGGTGAACCAACGGCAAAGGAAGACCTTTCTCTCTCTGTCTCTCTCTCACTGTCCACTCTGCCTGTCAAAAAAAAAAAAATTGTCGTGAAGGCTGCACAACTCCAAGAATATACCCCAAACCTATTACATTATACGGTCTGAATGGATGAATTCTTAATGGTATGTTGATTATATCTCAATACAGCTGGGAAAAAAGGAAGGAGAAAAGGTGGAGGGAGACAGAAGAGGAGGAGGAGTGTAAAAATCCACCCAGCAGTATATTGTGCATGTATCAATTTCCTCTTACAGGTAAGGAAACCAAGGCACGGAGCTGATACACAGTATCGCAGATGTTCAGAGAGATGTCTACTCCCAAGGACCTTGCTGTATTGTACCATTATTACACATTACCTCCTTCACACGCAATTTTTTAAAAGATTATTTATTTATTTATTTGGAAGGCAGAGCAAAGGGGGGGGGGAGTGACACAGAGAGATCGTTCATCCATTGGTTCATTCCCCAAAATGGGCACAACAGCCAAAGACGGGCTGGACCGAAGCCAGGAAGCAGGCACTCCACCTGGATCTCCCCCGGGCGGCTGGGGCCCAAGCACTTGGATCATCACCTGCTGCTTTCCCAGGGAGCACAGCAGCTGGAACGTGAACCCAACCCGTGCCACAGCGTCTGGATTCCTGGGCGTACAGCTGGTTAGGGCAGGTGCCTGCAGAACCAAGAACCAGACACGGGTGGCAGATACGGCAGGGAAGACTCCCAGCCTGCCGACGCCACGAGCAGTCCCCCCCTTCTGCAGGCGGCCCCTTGCTGCACCTGCAGGTCACGAGGATGCCGGGAGCCGCACGTGCACTATGGACCCACGCCCCAGTGGCAGCTGATGGACTCCCAGGGAGGCTGCGTCGACTTCCCTTGAACACAACCCCCAGCTGGGAGGCAGCCACATGCAGAACCACGCCAACAGGGTGACGGCTGGCGCCGGCTGGCTCCCTGGTTCAGTCCACTCAGGCCAGGCTGCCCTCCTGCCCACAGGCTCCACAGGACACCTTCCCACCTCTGCTTGCTGCAGAGAATCCCTGGTGAGACTTTGTTCCACCGTGGTCTACGCCTTCACCAAAGGGAGAGAGGAGGACCACGTGTGTCTCTGTGTGCGCACGCGCATGTGTGTCCCCGTGTCAGAGAATCCCTGGTGAGACCTTGTTCCACCCGTGGTCTATGCCTTCACCAAAGGTAGAGAGGAGGACTGCTCACCTAAGGGAGAGAGGAGTACTGCGTGTGTCTCTGTGTGCGCACGCGCATGTGTGTCCCCGTGTGCGTGTATGTGCATGTGTGCTTCCCCATGTGCATGTGCACGTGTGCTTTCCTGTGTGCATGTGTGTGCATGTGCACATCTGTGTGCTGCATACATGTGTGCGTGTGCACGTGTGTGTGCACGTGTGTGTGCATGCATGTGCGTCCCCATGTGCATAAATGTGCGTGTGTGTGCATGTGTGTGCGTCCCCTGCACAGGGCACTGGTCTAGTCACGAATCTGCATCCCTGAGGCTGTGGTCAAGCAAACCCGGGCTCCTGAGGCAGCTGAAAAGTGCCCTGGCTCTGCTCCCAGCCTGCACAGCGGCGGGGTGTGATCTGGTCACTCCCCACACCACCAGGCCACCCAGTCCCTCTCCTGAGGACACTGTTTCTGACACGGACGGGGCCGGGGACATCTGACGCCCTGAGACCTCACCCCTCGGCAGCTCTGAAGGGCTCTTAGAAACGTCACAACACAAGGATTGGCTGAACCCCTGGACGAAGTGGAGGCGGCCACAGGATCAGGTGCACAACTCCCTCCTTTCCCTCCCAATAAAACCCACACTGCGAACTCCGGCCTCGCACCGCCCTGAACTGGACTGGTGAGTTACCGTGGGCGGATGAACAAGAGGCACTTGTGGAGGTCCACAACATACGAGGGAGCGAGCGGATCTCATCCCCGCTCCCACCCCCACTGGCAAGGACGCATCTGAAGGAAAAACATTTACAAGGGCCTGCGGCCGGACGCCCAGAGGAAGTGCTGAGTTGACGAGAGGAAAGGGAGACTGAACCCTTTCCCATCCTTGGGTCTATTTATGGGTGCCATCTGGCTCCAGGAAATGCTGAGCCCCTCTCCCAGGACCCTGCTGGGAGCGAGGCCGCACGGCTGACCCGGCCTGCCACAGCAGCGCTCTCCTGCTGACTGAGGGCCCAGCGTGGAAACGGAGAGCAAAGGCGAGAAAAGCCCCTGGTGTGGAGGGGCTCCCACAGCCGCAGGCACCAGGCCTGGGGATGACAGCACAGGCGGAGGCGGGCGGAGCCCCCACCACACTCCCTCCCCCACAGGACTCGCATTTCTTTTAAAAGGTGACTTTTAAAAATAGTTCCTTTTCATTTTACTTGAAAGGCAAAGAGACAGACACATGCAGACAGGTGTGCCAACAGCTGGAGCCGGGCCAGGCAGGAGCCAGGAGCCCAGAACTCAATCCAGGTCTTCCACGTGGGGAGCAAGGGCCCAGCTGCCGGGGCCGTCCCCCCCACTTCCCAGGATGCACAGCAGCAGGAAGCTGGCTCAGAAGCAGAGCTGGAGCTGGAGCCCAGAAACTCACAGACGGGAAGCGAGTGTCCAAACAGCACCGTAACCCGGGGCTAAAGGCCCACCCCACTAGCCCACGTTCCTGTGGAGAAGCCGTCTCAGGAGGACAAGGGTCCACCATGACAGGCGCCTGATGAAGGTATTCCTCATTTCCTTTTTTATTTTTTGTTCACTGAGGAGTCCATCAATTTTTTCTTTAATTAATTTTTTTTTGACAGGCAGAGTGT